TTATTCCGATAAAATCGGGACAGGTTGTTACAGAGGCCATACTTCTATATCGATCTCAGCTTATTCTACATCAATATTATGATAAATGCAAAGTGAAGAAAATAGGTATAGTGCAATGACTATAAGTCCAACAGCTAATACATCAATTCCAAAGGAAATCACATAATACAATCAGAACACTGCCCAAAAAAAAAAAAGCTAAAAATTTAATCCACTTTAAAGTGTGTGTGAGAAAGAGATAGAGAGAGAGAGAGAAAGAGATCAAAACTCAGCCTAGACTGACTACTATTTACTTTGTTTCTTGGCTTTGCCTACCACCCAAACAACAAACCAAAAACAAAACACTTTTTTTGGCAACAGGACCTCAAACATATTTTATTAAGATTCATCTTGACAAATAAATGGAACCAAAAAACAATCTACTTCTTTTCATCTTTAAAGAATCAAAAGAGGATACTAGAGACACCAATTTGGCTTGAATATGTTTTTGTTTTTTGATTTTGTAGCTTAAATTTTGTGGTTTACAGAACTAGCAATGAAACTGCCTTAGAATTGCAGCACAACTTAACTAAGGCCCCTCTGCAAGGTCAGAAGATGCTAGAGACACCAGTTGGTGTGATCACCTTGATGTACAAATTTAGCCGCAAGAACAACAGTAATAACCTTATTTTCTACTCAAATTTGGTCAAAAGATAGGCATGGCGCAATCCTGAAATTAGTATGGTAGATACCTTATGTGGTCTATTAGGATGACCGACAGTCGATGGCTAGCTCTGATACCAAACTGAAGCAATTCAACTTACACTGGGGGGGTTCTAATTGGAAGGATTTGAATTCCAAATTTCATGTCATGATACTAAGTTAAAGTATATTGGATTACCATTATTCTAAAAAGCTTTAACTATTAAGTGAAAAATGAAACTGGTATACAATGCTATACTAAGCACCTAGACCTAAAATGTATGAGAATCTCCACTAGCACCACAAAACTAGTTCAAACTTTCTTTTAAAACTACGTATGGGATCAACTCAAAATACGCATAAGTAATCTATGCTACACCATAAAGAACAAAAAGAAATAAGTACTCACAATCGAGTTAAATAAAACTTCACTTTTTTTACTGGTCCCTCAGTGATGACAGTTCCCTTAGCCACATCCAATCCCATATCTTTCAATGCATTCATCTGTCCTCATTTAAACAAAGGTACTGTTGGAAATTAATCTAATCCAGCCTCTTTAGTATTCTATTTTTAATTTAAGCAACTTAGTTGTAAAAGCTAACAGCTAGTTTTTTTTATTTTATTTTAAATATCCTTGTCTATTGTGTAAAGCCATCTCACACTAGACACACGTATGTCTCAGATTAGAAGTGAGGTCTATGGCTTAGATGAACAATAGCACAATTATAATTTAAAGGACAATGTACCTAAGGTTGTAGCTAGATAAGGATGAATGTAAGGGAATGAATCAATCAATGAAATCACCTAGAGGAACAGCTATGATTTGCTTGCTCTAAAATTCTCTAAAAACATTCTCCGAAATTCTTTTTGTTCTTTACCTTTTTCTTTCATAAGTTTTTACCATAATCCATCATGGCCTCAAAGCCTGGTTTCGATATGTGAACTAAGAGTCTATAAAGTTGTGAACTTTAGGGAATTTCCAACGAGAAAAACCTTAGAAATCAATTTTTTTTTCCTTGTGAGAGATGGCTGGAACAGCTGGCAATGACCTGAAAGCTCCAATCTTTCAAGGTGAAAACTATGACTTTTGGAGAATAAGGATGATAACCATTCTCTCAAGTCTCATGATCTTTGAGATTTGGTGGACAAGGGGTATGTAACCCCAGCTGTGAAAGAAACTCGCACGAAGGATGCTAAAGCTCTTGGCTTTATTCAGGGTGCAGTCTCCAACATCATATTTTCGAGGATTGCAAATGAAGAAACAAACAAAGGAGCATGGGAGATTCTTCAAGAGGAATACAAGGGTGATAAAAAGGTTAGAAGAATGAAACTTACCTTTGTTAGACGTGAATTTGAGTACACTAGGATGAGGGAAAATGAACCACTTAAGGATTATCTTGTTAGACTATTTGATATTGTGAATCAAATGAAGAACTATGGTGAAGAACTCACAAATCAAAGATTAGTGCAAAAGCTACTTATTAGTCTAACAAAGTCCTATGATAACATTGTGTCACTTATTGAAGAAACTAAGGATACATATGTAATCAGCGTTCAAAAAGTGACCGCATCACTAAGAGTAGTTGAGCAAATGCTAGAAATGCATGCAGTAGATGATATGGCTACTAATAGGACCTTTCAATCACTTAATATTGGTGAGAAGAACTATAACCGTAGTGGATAGTCAAGTAATAGTCAAAAGGAGAAGAAACCATGGAAAGGAAAAACAAGAAATGGGAGAACAAGGGTGGTAGTCCTGCAAAACCAAATACCATTGAGGGAACCCATAAAATAGCTTGTAAGATATGTGATAAATTGCACTATGATGCTTACTAGATCAAGGGGAAAACCCAACTGTCACAAATGTGAAGGGTTTGGTCATCTAGCTAAAGATTGCAACAGTGGTAGAAGAAACCAATAGGTGTAATATGCAAACCAAGTTGATGAGGAAGAGGCTAATGTCACATCCTAGACTCGGTTCCATCATAGCACGATATTGTCCTCTTTGGGCCCCAGCCACGCCCTCATGGTTTTGTTTCTAGGAACACACTAGTTTCGGATTCCATTGGAACTCAAAAGTTAAGTGAGTTCGAGCGAGAGCATTCCCAGGATGGATGACCTACTGGGAAGTTCTCACAGATTGTAAGATCCCACATCGACCAATGGAGAGGGGGTGATGTGCCTTATATGTACATGCTCCCCTCCCTATAGCACTAAGCCTTTTGGGAACTCACTGGCTTCGAATTCCATCGGAACTCCAAAGTTAAGTGAGTTCGGGCAAGAGCAATCCTAGGATGGGTGACCCACTGGGAAGTTCTCATCTGAGTTCCCAGAAACAAAACCGTGAGGGCGTGGTCGGGGCCCAAAATGGACAATATCATTCTACGACGAAGCCAGGTCTGGGATGTGACATAATGGTATTAGAGCCACTCTACCGTTCGGTACGGATGTGTCGATGAGGACACCCGATTCCCTTTAAATGGGGTGGATTGTAAGATCCAACATTGACCAATAGAGAGGGGGTGATGTACCTTATATGCACAGGCTCCCCTTCCTATAACACAAGGCTTCTTGAGAAATCACTGGCTTCGGATTCCATCGGAACTCCGAAGTTAAGCGAGCGAGAACAATCCTAAGATGGGTGACCCACTGGGAAGTTCTCGTCTGAGTTTCCAGAAACAAATCCACGAAGGAATGGTAAGCCCAAAGCGGACAATATCGTGTTACGGTGGAGTCAAGACTAGGATGTGACACTAATGTGTTCTTTACATGTAGTGCTACAACAATATAAGGAAATGAGATTGTGGTATATAGACAGTGGTTATAGCTACCACATGACAGCACATATGTCTTTACTCATTGATTTGCATACAACCTATACTGGCAGAGTTAAAATGGGGAATGGAAACATAGTGGATATTGTTGGTAGAGGAACCCTGATTATAGTAATTAAGAAAGGGAAAAGATACATCAGATAAGTGATGTTGGTACCTGGCTTGGAAGAAAACCTACTCAGTGTAGGACAAATGATGGAACATGAGTATTTCTTGCTTTTTGGTGATGATGTGGTTGAAATCTATGATGACAAGACCCTGCAGAATCTTGTCTCTAAAGTTGAAATGAAGAAAACAGAAGCTTTCCCGTATTGCTGAGATTTCTTGAGAATCTTGCAATGAAAACAATAGTGAATGAGTTTTCTTGGTTATGGCACAAGAGACTAGGCCACCTTAACTTTCAAAGTTTGAAAACTATGCAGAACCAACAAATGGTTCTTAGCCTACCTGAAATCAAAGAAACTAGTGTGAAGTGTGTGAATGAACTACCTTGGAAAAATAACACAGAAGCTAATTTCCAACTGGTCAAGCATGAAGAGCATTAGTGCCCTTGGAATTGATCCATAGTGACGTTTGTGGTCCAATGAAGATTGCTACACTTGGTGGTAACATATATTTTCTGATTTTTGTAGATGACCATTCCAGAATGTGTTGGGTTTATATGTTGAGAAAGAAATTAGAAATATTCAGTGTTAAAAAGTTTCAGATGCTTGTGGAAAGACAAAGTGGAATGAAGATTAAAAGGTTGAGAAGTGATAGGGGATGAGAGTACACATCCTTGGAATTTGACAAGTTCTGTAAGATTATTAGACTAGAGAAACAGTTGACGGTTGGGTATACTCCACAGCAAAATGGAGTAGCTGAGAGGAAGAACATGACAGTTGTGGAAATGGCTAAATCAATGTTGCATGATAAGATGATACCATACCATTTTTTGGGAGAATCAGTTTGCACTGCAGTCTATATACTCAACAGGTGTCCTACAAAAGCTATTGACAACTTAACACATTTTGAAGCTTATAGTGGAAGAAAGCCATATGTGAAGCATTTAAAAGTGTTTGGTTCAATCTGTTATGCTCATGTCCCTACTCAATTAAGACATAAACTAGAATAATGCAGCAACAAGTGTGTCTTTGTGGGATATATAAGATGTGAAAAAGGTTATAAGCTTTTCAATTTCAAAACAAAGAAAGTGATATTTTCCAGGGATATAGTATTCAAAGACAGTGCTCATTGGGATTGCGATAAACAAGTTGAATCAAATGTATACATACCACTGTCACTTGAAGATCAATAGACAAATGCTGAGTTTGAAGGGGAGCATTCTAGTGAAATGGTCATGTAACACCAGTGCAATCTCCATTTGTACAACATTCACAATCTCAGTCCTCTCAATCATCTCAATCTTCACATTCTCCACAAGAGAGTGGAAATGTACAGGTCTCAAGTTCTCAAGAAACCACCCCAAGTTCAACTCCAATAAAGATGAGAAATCTGAATGAGATATATCCAACTTGTAATTTCTGTCAATTGGAACCAGAAGATTCCAATGAAGCTATGAATAAGGTTGCTTGGAAGAAAGCAATGCAGGATGAAATCACCGTCATTAAGAAGAATGCCACTTTGGAACTAACTGAGGGACTAAGTGAGAAACCTGTTATAGGGGTAAAGTGGGTTTACAAAACAAAATTGAACTTGGATGGATTTGTGCAGAAGAACAAGGCTAGGTTGGTTGCAAAAGGCTACTCACAGCAACCTGGGGTAGATTTCAATGAGACATTTGCCCCAGTTGCTAGATTATACACCATTAGGACCCTTATTGCTCTTGCAGCACAAAAAGGGTGGAAATTACACCAATTGGACGTTAAATCAGTTTTCCTAATTGGATATTGAAAAAGGAAGCCTATGTAGAACAACATGATGGCTTTATAAGGTTTACAAGTTGAACAAAACCTTATATGGCTTGAAACAGGCTCTTAGAGCTTGGTATGAAGAGATTGATTCTTACTTCACTAAGAACAATTTTTGTAAAGTCCCAGTGATGCTACCTTGTACACCAAGAAACAAGAAAACACAGGAACACTCATAGTATCTATCTATGTTGATGATGTTGTGTTCACTGGAGACAATGATCAAATGATTGAAGACTTTAAGCAGGATATGATGAAACAATATGAAATGACCGATCTTGGGTTGCTGCATCATTTTCTAGGAATTAGAGTTGTTTAAATTGAAAGTGGTATATTCATTCACCAGGGAAATTATACAAAAACTTTGCTGGAAAAGTTTAGACTCAAGGATTGTAAGCCTGTGAGTACACCTTTTCACTCAAATGCCAAGTTGTGTAAGGATGATGGTAATGAACCAGTAGACTCAAACCATTATAGAAGTATTGTGGTAATTCTACTTTATCTATCAGCAACCAAACCTGATATTATGTATGTTGCTAGCCTCCTCAGCCAAAAGGGTACTCATATATGTGCAAGGAACCATTGATTATGGTGTTTTCTATGAAAAGGAAAGTCATCAATCCTAATTGGATTCTGTGATAGTGATTGAGGTGGCAGTGAGGATGATATGAAGAGCACATCGGGCTATGCCTTCACTTTTGGCTCAGGTGCATTCTCTTGGGCATTTGTGAAGCAACAAAGTGTTGCTCTATCCACAGCTGAAGCTAAGTATGTCAGTGTAGCTGAAACAACATCTCAGGCAATCTGGTTAAGGTTCATTCTCAAGGATTTTGGTGAAATGCAAGTAGATTTAACATCAATTATGTGTGACAACATGTTTGCTATTAATAATGACAAAAAATCTTGTGTTCCATCACATTGGACACATGTATGTCTCAGATTAGAAGTGAAGTGTATGGCTTAGATGAACAATAGCACATGTGTAATTTAAAGGACAATGTACCTGAGGTTGTAGCTAGATAAGGATGAATAAAAGGAATGAATCAATCAATGAAATCACCTAGAGGAGCAGCTATGATTTGTTTACTATAAAATTCTCTGAAAACATTCTTCGAAATTCTTTTTATTCTTTTACCTTTTTCTTTCATAAGTTTTACCAAAAATTCATCCGATATTCAATCAATCATAAGCTTCTTTTCTTTTAACAAAAAATAAAATAAAAATCTATATGGTTATTATGTTTAATAGTGGATTCAAAAGCAACCAATAAGAAAAAGTCCTAGCTGAAATCTAAATTGGTGTACTGAAAGATTTTGGTTTAAAAGAATCTATTTTAAGACTCATCTTTCAAAACTTATACAATGTAAAAAACCAAGAGCCTCACAATCCATGTTATCCTAAAATAGAAAATAATAAAATTTCCAATAACAACTTCACCGTATCAATGAGTGCTCCAAGGCGATCCCCGAAGCTAAGTTGCACAATAGTTGCATCAGAATCTGAATCTTGATCGATCATAACAACTGCATCAGAAGATAATCAGCATCTTGATCAGACATTTGCAATTTAAAACATTCATCAACTTGTTGGTAAATGATACAATCTCGTCAGACAATCAAAAGTCAGTGTAGGTGCATTATTGCATTGTGAAGCAATTCTCCAACTCTAAAAGTTCTTAGATTTGATTATGAACCACTCAAGAATAATGAAAATTTAACATGCAAATAAAATATTGACAAAAGAAAAACGAAAAATGGGTCCATCAGAGGTCTAAATGTGCGTCCTTCTGGGAAAAAAATGCCTAACAGAAACATGACTCTCGTTAAATGTCTAAAAAAGAAACAAATCTCCAATTGTAGATGTCTACCAAAGGAAATATACTGCTTTCCTTGTCTAGCAACGTGGCTTGTAAGAAAACACGATGTAAAGGCCTCATTTCTATGGAAAATATTAGCAGACACCATCACAATAGATTATATGGACAATAAGTACTGCCTAGTTTCACTTGATGTTGTGAATACCACCTGTTTAGTTTAAGCACAAGTAACACCGATTGAACTAAATATCGTATCCTCTAACAAGACTAAACTAGTTTTTTTATCCTCTTTTGGTTGACATGGTATAGGGTTTTGGACCATGATTGGTGGTCCATCGACTCTAATTGGTCTTCATTATCAAAATATTGCTTATACACTTTCTAACATGTCATTTGTTAGTACTAATAAAAAAAAAACAAGTATGATTAAAACACATTCTACATGTTGACAACGAATATATGAAAATTATCAGTCTTATATAACAAGAAGCATGTAGATGAACTTAAATGGAGAGGTAAATGATAAAGAAGTTTTTTTCTTAAACTAACTTCTCTCTTTATGCAATATGGGTAAAACTTTTTGGTTAGAGCTACATTTTCCTAACGTACCTTCTAACTTGTTTACAACCAAACCAAATGCAAAATCCCAATAAGTTGAAACTCCCAAGTCAACTCCAAGTCCATTTCTGTAAATTCATCTTTTTTTTTTCAATTATATCTTTGTGTCACATCAATAACCTTAAAAAGGGTACAACTATTGTCCTAAAATGGTACAAATAATAAAGAAAGTAAGAAATCATGGCTTTTGCCTATGCAAGAAAATAATTGAAAATTAATCTCTTTGCTATATCAAGACTTAAGTTTGAATTTCTTTGCCGACAATTCCTCTTGATGGACAATTTGAAAATCAACAATTATAATAAAAAGGACTAAACTTTCTCTGTAAGTCCTCAAAGAGGTTTGTAGTATGCATAGCTTTGGAATGGGGTAGCATCCCCATCCCCTAAACTTTGTTGTTAAAAGAAATTAATTGAAAAATAAGGGAAAAATTTGCAAACAATAAAAAGACCCAAAACCTAGATAAAAGGGCCCTAAGGGCATGTTTACATACCCGTAATTAGAATCAAAACAAGGAGTTGAATTCTGATTACGGAGTATTGAAGCATTTACTAATTTTGGAGGAATCAAAAGAGTGACAAGCCCCACACGAATTAAGGAATCCAACTCCCCAAAATGGAGGAGTCAGACTCTTTAGATGGATTTTGTATTTGAGTTTCGGAAGAGTGAGGGAACGGGAATGCATTTTTTCTACCTATTATGCCCTTTTAATATTTTTAAAATTTCAAGTTTGCACACAACAAACCCACCACTTACTACGCACTCTGCCTTCAAGCATCTGCGCCTCACCTTCCACTTCCCTGTGCGACCGTGCTTCACTTCCCAACCCACCACCTCATGAACCCCATCCATGTATCCCCAAACCAAATTTAAAAATCAAACACTCAAGTCTTGAAAATAAGCAATTCAAGCCCATACCCAAACCCACAAATCCGTGGAAGCAACCACTCAAAAAACCCATAAAATTGTGAAATACTTTGCAGGGAGAAGAGGTGGTGGCTATGGGGTTAGGCGGGTGGGGAACATGAAGGTGAAGGTAGGGGAGTAAAGATACGAAGAATCGCAGGAGGAGGAGGAATGTTTTATTCAATTGGGTTTGAATAAGGGCATTTTTTTTATTTCACGAGTCTACTCGAGGAAGAAAAGAGAATCATGGCTCTAGTGAAGGGCACTGGTGACTACTCCTATGGGAATCATGAAAGGATGAGGATGATTGAATAGGTGTTATGTTTCAGCAATTGGTCGCCATAACCCAAGAGGAAGATAGGAATCATGGTTCTAATAATTCTAGATAAGATTTGCAGAAGGGTGTTTAATAGTTTAATATTAGTTGTTTAATATTTTAATATTGTAAAAACAATACATTTGTATATGAATATTATTAGTAATACAATAAATTTGTCTACAAATTTAATATTTTGGAATAAGGGTATTATAGTAATCACACTAGTTTTCATTCTGATTCATGTACATTAGTAAACTTATATGAATTTAGTACTATTTATATTTCGATTCCATAACATTTAAGTAAACAACTTCAATATGAATCTGATTATGACTCCTCATTCCAATTTCTCCTTAATTCAATTCCATCTTGATCCAATTCCTCATATTTTGATTCCGGTTGCGTAAACGAGCCATAAATTTAAGGGTACGTTAACGAAAAGGGCTTGGGCTAACTTTCATTTAACCAAAAACCACATAGTAATTTTATTTAATGAAAAGGATATGAGTTTTAATGAAAAAGGACAAAAACTAGAAGAAAACAAGCCCAAATAAAAGGTCCACGAGCTAGAAGCGAGAGAGTGTTCTGTGGTTTAGAACTATTTGAACCAGTCAATGGAAGTCGTTCTGGAAATTTCATGTAGATTTCCGTATCTAGATCCCCATAGAGTTTTGCGATTACCACTTCCATAAGCTGCATATAAAGGTTTTTGGAAACTACCAAACTGATAAGGTAACGGAACGTTATGACGTTCATTATGGGGGAATACGTTTCCTCGTAAACAATCTCAGGGCATTAAAAGAAGCCTTGAGCTACAACGTGTGCTTTGTATCGCACTATTTCATTTTTCTCATTACGCTTCCTTACCAAAACCCACTTGTAGCCTACGGGCTTCACATGTGGTGGAGTAGGAGCTACATGCCCAAACACCTTATGTTTCGCAAGCAAATCGAGTTCGACCTGGATTGCTTATTTCCAGTTTGACTAATCCGTTCTACATTAACATTCATCACGGAACGTGGTTTAATGTCATCGCTAAGCATGATGTCGGAAGCAACTGTATATGCAAGTGCATCATCGACAATTATCTCATTCTGATTCTAATCCTCATCTAATATTGCGTAATGGACCGAAATCTCACGATTCTCGAGAGACCGGTATGTCTCATCTAAGACATCACCGTAATCTAAAATAACCTTATATTTTGGAACAAATGAGTAAGCAATGGTTAGATTCATACTAGGGTAACTAGTTTGTGCCGTTTTCCTCTTCTGGGGTTGTGAATCATTTGAACTAGGGGATCTGCCACGCTTCAGGGTAGGAG